CAGCTAGGCTTGAACATACCACCCTCTCAAAATTAACATGCAACTCCTGTCTGCTTAACATCTGCTCAGGCGGGGCAGGTTGCTGTGATATTGCCAGACTCTCGCTGATAGCTTTCCTCTTGCTAAATATCACTAAGGGTAAATGATAACCATTCAAATATAAATGTTTAACTGATACTAAAACAAATTACTCATATGTTTTAAAACAAGTTGCTTCATAATTCTCTTTAGGAAGCACTAGTTTTATCTTTCAGGATTAACACAAAGCCAAAATCATGTCCATTGTTGGAAAGTGGAAGTTAAATTGGTATTATCCATTTGATTTTGCATTAATATAAATATTTGATTTCATGTAGAATTTTCTGAAATTTGCAAAAAATGTACTTGATGAAAAAAACAGTTTTAGTCAATTTCCAAGTCAATTAAATTATCTGAAGTTTTATTCATTTCTTTTTAAAAGCACTATTCTTAATTCTTCATAACATCTTCTGTTTATGCATGTTGGCGTGAGGAGGATGTGTGACTCAATTTCTCTTCTTTAATAACCTAATAAAGCCTCTCTGGGATGCTGTAAAAAGCTATTCCTACTCCTACTAGCTAACATTTATATAATGCTCAGTTATGTGAGAGATGCTAAAGACTTTAGCACGGTAATTTATTTAGGTCTCATAAAAACTGCAAGTACATATTATTCAAGTTCAGTAAGCTTTAACAACTTTGCCATCAGTCAACAACAGTGGAGCTCAGAATGTCGCCAAGGCTATCTGACTTGAGAACTGACCATACTACAATGCCTTTTACACTAACTGCTACCATTTATTGAACACTGGGTTTGTAACAGGTATGCTTAGAGTTAAGAGTTAACTCTAACTCCATAACAATGACTCCCTTAGTTAATGTATATTAATACCATCATTTACAGATGAAGAAACTGAAGAACAATGAAGAAAAGTGATCTATTTGCCCAGATTTCCAAAGTTCATTAGTGCAGTCAGATATAAACCTAGACTACCAACACACAATCAAGGTAGCTCACCTGGGAAAAAAGAAAAGTGAAAAACACCTGTTCATATGAAACAGAAATTAACTTTCAATCACTTGCTCTGTTTTATTGTTTTGTCTCTCTCCCCTCAGAAAACAATAACAAATCAGCTGATTTCTCAGTCAGCAGATCAGTAGTCAGAAATCTACAGAAACCTCTGTCACCTGTAAATGAGGGTAGAGTAGCTTTCTGTGGTCTGGGAACAGTATATTATCAAGGCAATCTCATTTCTCATTCTTGGGACCACAAATGCTTTATGCCAGACTGGATTTTAGAGAAGTGTTGGGGCTTCTAAGACCATGTGGCTGTGAAGAGAGAGGATCAGCACTTGGCTTCCAGGTGCTTAATGCGTAACTAAGAGGGCATGTTTTAGCAGCCAGGCACTTATGGTGTATTCCTAAGCCAAGCTTATGAGTTAGGTCTATGTCCGTATGCATATAACTAATCTGTGCTTTTATAACACTTAACCAGTTTCTATTTCAGGAGCAATCACTGAAATGCATGTACACAGCTAGGTTTAATACAAAGTCATGAGTGAGCATTAAACACCACCCTAGATTTCTCAGTTATAAATTTAGCTATTATCAACACTCAGTAGTTTTTTTTTCCTTGAATGAAACATAAATCCTTTTATATAAAGTGAATTAAACTTACTTCAGAATGGAAGGCTTACTTAAGGATAGAAATTATTTTAAGGTAATTGTAGAACTAAGTTTAACAGAACAGGATAAGTATTTGGTAATATTCCTATTGCCCAACATAACTCAAGGAGATTCATCCATGGACAGAAATAGCTCAAGAATTGGAAATCATTGAGTTTGCACTTGGCTCTGCCATTGTGGCTGCACAATTTCCCTCAAATCACTTGGCCTTCCAGGATACTTGTAAAATGGAGTTAATTAATTCACCCTATGGTGATATAAGTCACAAAGTAAAAAAATTACAATAGTGCTTTGAAAACTTAATCATAATATAAAGGGTTGTAGAAACTGTTCAGATGATGAATATTATTGAGATTTTCAGATAAGTTGTTTCTCCACCATGAACTAAAAGAAATTTCTACTTTTCCTTATGACATTAGAATTATAATTTTAAAGGTCCCATGTATATATTGACTCTATCAAAAAGAAAAATATGAAGGAGATTTTAAACAAAATTATGTCTTAAAAATTATGAGAGGCAGGTATAGTGGCCACACCTGTAGTCCCAGTGACCCAGGAGGGTGGGCCCTGGAAGAGAACATCTTCCCTGCCCACCCTTTGCTTCCTGGCTACCAGGAGCTGAGCAGCCTTCCTCCACCATGTCCTTCCACCATGATGTTCTGCCTCACCTCAGACCCAGAAAGGGAAATGGTCTACCACTGACTGAACCTCTGATATTGTGAGCCAAAATAACCTTTTTTTCCCCTGTAAGTTGGTCTTGTTGGGTTTTTGGACACAGCAAAAACAAAGCTGACTACCACAAGAATCATGGAAATCTTAAAGTATTTGGAGAGAGAAAAAGAAAGGAGAAAGATACTTCTAAGAGAGAAAAAAAAAAGATGAACAAAGTGAACAAAGACTTCCAGGTAGAAACAAATTGGGTACCTCAAAGAACAATTAGAGTTATAAATTAAAATTATGAATTCTATAAAATAAGTTAGAAAAGACTGTGGGTCCACTTTATAGAACTTTAGAACCAAAATTTTATAAGTGTAAAAGTCATTTTGTAGTAAATAAGACCCAATAAATTAATTATGAGCCAAGGAACAGAAGTATCAAATGGTGCCTGAGAAATAATCATGTAAATAGTTTTCAATCCCAAATTGCTAACATTAGTAATATTTACTAATATAATCAGTGACAATACAATAACTGAATATTAAAGTTCCTTCTGAGACCCATGGTTCTGTTAAAAGATTAACTCTAATCATATGATTTCTATATATGAGCCATATCTACTAAGTTATGGTAACTGTAAGGCTGGAGTGAATTCTGTATAAAGCCTAAAGTCTTTCTTCATGCCAACTTCTAAGGTCCTAAAGTCAAGGGTGTGTTCCTTGGGAATTCAGGTGAACTCCAATGTGACAACAATCCTAGAACTAGGGTAAACTCTTAACTGCAAGTCTTCTCAGCCTGGAATGAAATTCTTCTTCTTCCCACTCTTTTTATTTGGTTTATAATTTTACTTTTCACAATACAAGGAATGCCTTCAATTCATCACCAAAACAGGGAACTGAAACACCAAAACTGGAACTGAAATGCATCCACCTACCTGCTTGCCCTCTCCAAGGCAACAGGTTCTCGTAAAAATAATATTGGATGGTTTTCAAAGAGGTCTAACACATCCCATCATATTACAAAGCAATATTTTCACAGAGCTAGCACTGAAAGGTAAAGCCTGGTGAAATGGTCACCTAGCCAGAGGCCATGGAAAGAGCATGGTGTTCTATGAACCATTTCAGCAAGATGAATTAAAAGCTTGCTCCTGGTGCTGGGGCTGTAGTTCAGTGGGAGAGAGCTTGCCTAGCATGTGTGAGGCTGGGGTTCGATCCTCAGCACCACATTAAAAAAATAAATTAATAAACAAAGATATTGTGTGTCCCTCTACAATTAAAAAAAAAAAAAAAAAAAAAAAAAGCCTGCTCCCCTCATGGATTCCTTTCTGTAGCGACCAGGCAGCGGAAAGTAATCTGAAATGTGGTAATGGTGTGTGTGAAGGTGCTCATTCCAGTGCTGCTGGAGAAAGGGCGGTGCTAGAGACAAAGGACAACAAATAAGACTCTTGTTCATCTAAGGCTCATCCTTCACTTAACCAGACCAGAATCAGCTTGTAATCTGAAAACTGCCACAGTTCTGAATGCTTCTCAAATCCAGAGAACCTAGCCCTTTATCCTTAATACAACTTAGACTGTTAAAATGGAAGCAGGAGGTGACAACCAGGACAGGCACAGTAAAGTTACATAATGTGAGCTTTGGACTGTTAAATCTCTTTTAATAATGAAAACTGTACAAAAGTATTAAGTAAAACCCTTTATAATTATATTCATGGAAAAATATATTTTATGGGATAGGCAATGTAAACATTTTCTTTTAAAGAAAGCGTCTGTTAATACTAAAAATATGAAGTGGAAATTTGTTTTCAATGTAAAATGCCATCGAGGAATGTATGTATACTACGTAAATAATGATCATATTAATTAGCTTTATCCTGTTGTACATTTGAGAGTCAAACTATGAAAAACTCAATAGCAACCAAAATTTTAAAAAAATCAAGCTTTCTATGTAAAGATAAAATGAGTAAGGAAAACATAAAATAGTTATGATATTTAAAATAATATTGAGTGACAAAAAGACAGAGTCAAAGTTAAAGAAACTTAAGAGTTAAAACACTTATCACTTCTTATATCTATATGGTAAATTATTTCTAGTGATTCAGGAAGTTAGTAGATCACCATTCACACCGGTGCTCCCAATCTTATGGACAGATTATGGACATGCTAAATGGAAATATAAAGAGCTAATGAAGAGACACCTGAATCAATACGAACATGTGTATTTCCTTAATGAATACTAAAAGTATAATGACTATCATTTGGTGGTCTAATCTTAACCTGTTATACCTTATTCAAAATTAAGAACAGACTGTGAAATTTTTAGAGGAAAATGTAGAAGAAAATCATCATCTGGGGTTAAAGAATTCTTATAAATATCACAAAAAAATAAAATGAATGGGACTTCATCAAAATGAAATTAATAAAATTAATGCCAATTTTACCAATTAAAAAACACTGTATCACTTTTAGAATTATAGTTAGTGTTATGCCATAGTAACAAATATTTCAGGTAATACCTGGCCATACATATTATCTGTGGGAATTTGTAAAATAGGAATGTTCTCTCTGACTTAATTTATAAAAGTTTGCTACCAGTCTAAGAGTCACTTTTTCATTTAATACAAGTTAACTTTCAATACTTACCAGCAGCTTCCAGAACAAGCTGTAGTCTGGCTTTGGCCTGTTCAGCTGGTGGCTAAAAATCAACCAAAAAAAGACATTACAAGTCAGTTTTAATATATGGAGCTTTAAATTAATGCACTATTATTTATTAAGGATTTTAGAGAATTTCATAACAAAAACACTGCCCATCCAAATTTCACAAAATTCCACAATAGTATTAGCAATGTGTTCTCTCATTTTCACTGTCAAATCACAGCTCTTAACAACAAGATAAAGCATGGGTGAAATTCTTTTTAATTTTTTTTTAAAGGAAAAGGAATTGTTTCATATCCTAAAACCATACCAATCAGCATAACACAAATAACTCCAAATTTAATAATGAGGAAAACCTCACACATTTAACATTGTATTCTTCAGTTGTGTTTTCTTTGAATAAGGAAACATGTGAATGGCCTGTTAGAATTTAAATACAATAATAATTTGACATCTAGTACCTCAGGCAAGTTGGTTCCCAAACTAAACGCTTTCTGCTTTTCTAACTAAATATGAAAAAAACAGCTCTGTGGAAGATAGAAGCAATGTAACTTCTGTACTGCTGCCCCACTAGCTATTCTGAAATGAAGACTGAACACAGTGGATAAAGTAGACACTGAACTGCTACTTTCCAACCTGTAACCTAATTCTGAGGTTTTTAGATAATATATTAATGGTATCCAAAATACAACACAGATTGAATCAACATCACGACTTTAATGAAAGACCTTTCATTAAGAGTATACATGGTAATACATTTATAAAAATGTAAGCAAGAAAGTACAAAAATAACTTAAATAAACAACATAAAAATCATCTCAGAATTAACACAATATATTTAAATATTTTGCTATATTATAAAAAACAGCTTGAATTAAATAACTGGATTTAGAAAGAATATGCAATGCTCGGAAAAGTGGAAGAATTTGAATGGTCCAAAACAACTGAAAGAAGCCAGAGAGGAGAATGGTTAGGTACACTGAGAGAGGGAGGAGGCACGACAAGAGCTAACAACCCAACACTCAGACCAGCTGGTTCTGTAAATGAATTTTATTGGGACACACCAAGGCCCATTTGTGTTCATTTTATCCATAGTAGTCAACCTCTGACATAAAGATGAAGAGATCCAGAATCTAAACAGAGTGTGGTGAGAGCAGATCTTTGCTTTGATAGGTTGCTCTAGCAGTGCATCTGAGGATGAGTCAAAAGGAATGGGACAGCTGGGCAAGGTGGCACATGGCTGTGATCCCAGTGGCTGTGAAGGCTGAGGCAGGACAATGGCAAGTACAGGCCAGTCTCAATAACTTGGAGAGGCCCTGTCTCAAAATAAAATAGAAAAATTTGCAGGTGTAGGTCAGTGGCAGAGTATTAGCCTACTATGCACATGGTCCTGGATATAATCCCCAGTGATGCAAAAATAAACAAACAAAAAAACAAATGTAACTGGAGGCAAGGAACTCAGTTAGGTGGCGATTTAAAAACTCCGGGTGAGATGAGGGGACCTGGGCTGACACAGCTGAAGAAGGGCTGTGTAGGAGGGATCATCTTTCAGAAACAGACAATAGGTAAAAGGAAAAGCCTGATTGGATATGAGAGGACACCGCAAACAAAAAAGAAAATTTTATATTATGTTTTTTTTAGGGAGAATGTAGGCAAGCATGCTTTATAATATTAGGAGGTATGGAAAATATGATATCAAATTGAAATACCATAGCAAAACATCAACAAAAATGGGCACTTTCTGGATTTATTTTTATATATATATTCTTATATATATATTTATAATATATTTATGCTGAGGAACTGGAAACGCTTTTGACATCAGGACTGGGAACACAGAGAGTGGAAAGCTAGGAAGCAGGTACCCCAGCTAAAGGAAACAGCCAACAGAGCACCAAGCACTGTGCCCAAACAGACACGTGAACCGTGCCACATAAAACCTGTTAGTTTTTCACAAGAATTTAAATCGTCATGAAGACCACTACTCCGCAGAACAAAGTACTTTGCTGGGCCAGGTGAGCCTGGAGACAGTTTGTCATCTCTGCCAATTACCTGCCAGAGTAGAAACCCGAAACTTTGTGCAATACCATATAACCAGAATGGCAAAGGGGAAATGATATTCCGACCAGCAGGCCATAAGCAATTTTTCTTTCAGTATTTTAAAGATGCTGCTTTACTGTCTCATGGTCTGCACTGAGTTAGAAAGCACAGCGACCGAGGGCCCTTGATAGCAGAGAGCACACCAACAGGAGGGCCCTTATAAACAGCAGGTGTCCTTCAACAGAAAAATACTGGCACTATTTTGGATGATATATTTCAGGGGAGAATTTTTTCAGAAGAAAAATTTTTCAAAAAAACATTTGAGCCAGTAAATGAATATGATTTCATTCTGAATACATATACTTATATAGATACATTTTACTAAGTTTTATTTATGAAATGTGGAAAGGAACTACAATTCTGGGGCTAAATATGCTCTTAGACTGGCCAGATCTGGATTAGTAACTTCCACTTTATGAATGTTTTACATCTAATTCTATTAAACACTTTTAGTTAATTTTGTATACATGCAAGGTACGTACTGAAAACCATACTCTTTATTATTTTGGTATGTGGCTACCCAATTGTTCCAGCACATTTGAGGAAACAGCCATCATTTCTTCACTGTCTCTGCACCTTTCTCAAAAGCCAGTGTGCCATGAGCACATCCACATGAGTCTTTCTAGACTTTCCATTCTGGTCCTCTCATCTACTTGTCACTCTAGATGCCAACATTACACTGTCTTCATTACTAGAGCTTTGTAATAGCTCTCAAAATCAGGTAGAATACTCCGTTTTCTTCTTTTTCAAAGAGGTTTTGGCTTTTCTAGCTTGTTGGCATTCCCAGTTTTTAAAATAAGCCTGTCAATTTCTTTCACAGCAACAAATAAACACAAAAAAACAAGCCCTTGGGGATCATGCATGGGATTGTATTGAGTCTATACATTTATGTGGGAAGAATGGGCATCTTAATACTACTACATTTTAGCCTAGTAAAAATGTTTCCACTGTGTTTACCTGTTAGCATCTTTACATATAAATATATTTTTTTTAATATAGGCAGCACACAGCTGGATCGTGCCTTTTTAAGCAAACTAGAAAACCACTTCCTTTTACTTAGGTGTTCAGACCCAAAGCAATTATTAATCTGCCACATTGTTATATGATTCTTGGCCCCATATGTTCTTTGCTTCGTTTTTCTTACTCTGCTTTGTCTTAGATTGGGTATTTTACAAGTCTGTTTTTAGATTCTTTGTTGGCTTATTAGTTATAATTCTTTGTTACATTATTTAAGTTGTTGCTTTAGAATTTAATGTATATTCTTTAACTTATCATTTATCATTTTATCTATTATGTCAACCCGTGTGTTAAAATGCTAAAAGGACATTATGTGACATTTCTTATAGTGCTGGTTGCTTGATGAAGAACTTTTTAGTTTTTGTGGATGTTTTTAAAACTACTAATTAGACCTTCATTTCTGAATGATGTTCCCTCGGGGTATAGAATTCTGAGTGTCTACAACTTTTCTTTCAATATTTTAAAGATGCTGCTTTACTGTGTCATGGTCTGCATTGTTCCCAGTGAGTAACCTGTTTTCATACCTACCTTTGTTCCTTACATGTAATAATGCGAAGACTTTTCCCTCTATCTAATTCTAAGATTCTCTTCTCATAACCAGTGTTAAAAACCAATTTGACTATGATATGCCTTGATGCAGTCTTCTTCAAGTTTCTTATACTTGAGGTTCATTAAGCATTTTAGATTTGGTTTATGGTTTTTATCAGATTTTTAAAAATTTTTGGTCATTATTTCTTAGTGTTTTCTGATCCCTGCTTTCTCTCCTTGGGTGACTCCAATGACATGTACATCGTATATTTTGCTGCTACAGCGGTACCACACTTCACCACAGTTCTTTTAAGTTTTTCTTCCCTTTACTCGTTTCATTTTGGATAGTTTTTTCTGCTTTTTTCTATTTCACAAACCCATTTTCTGTACTTTTTCCTTTTCATGAATCTCATTCAGTATATTTTTCATCTCAGATGCACACTCTGCTAATGTTCTTGACTGTTAATTCTATTACTCTCTCAATTTTGGGTCAATTAAAGCTAACCAAGTTTTTCCTTAACATATGTTAGAGCATGGGGATAGGAAAGATGGTGGAATGCGATGAACACCATTACCCTAACTACATGTATGAAAACACGAATGGTGAGACACTACTTTGTGTACAACCAGAGACATGAAAAATCGTGCTCTATTGTGTAGTATGAATTGAATTGCATTCTGCTGTCATATATACTGAATTAAAATAAAACATATCATGCTTTTTTTTTTTGGATCCACAGTGATTTCTGGTAGACTGTCAGACATTGTAAATTGTATTTTTCTAGATGCTGGATATTTCTATATCACTATAAACAGACTTGAGTTTTATTCTGGGACACAATGAAGCTACTTGGGAGCAGTTTTAAAGTTTTATTTTATTTTCAATTACCAAATAACAAACATCTGAATTCAGGTACACACAGGCAGCCCAACTCCCTTTACCTCTGGCTCCACTAGGCAGGCTGGCTTCAGTCTGAGGCCCTGTTCCACACTGAGGCAAGGCCCTGTGAAGCACTCAACTGCAGGCTTTGCGGGTCATGAGGTTTCCACTCTGGCTGCAGGGAAGAGGCACTGCTGCCCTTTCCCACCCTCAAACTGCCAGTTAACATTGTCTCCAGCCACTTCTGGAGGCTCTTTTGGGACCTCAGGTCATTTCCCTAGTGTGCACTGATTAGTATCTGCTGAATAGCCATGGGGGAACCTGGGGCTGGCCACCTGCTCTGTGAACCTTCAGGGATCTGGCCTCCCTGGTCTCAAACTCTATCTTCTACTCAAGACCACTAAATTCTGTGGCCTCCTGTGCCCCATGACCTGCACTGAGACCACCAGGTCTCTCCTCATTTCTAGCTCTCAGAAGTCACTTCATATTCAATACTGGCTGTCTTAACAGCTTGT